CTTCCTTTCTTCTGTTTCTTTCTTTCAGACTTATGGAGGTCATCACCACTGCTGTATGTTCATGGTTGCCACATCTATACCATATCCAGAAGACAGCTCTTCACAGACTTCTTCCTCATTCTCTGGCCTCCTAGACTTCTCTCAATTTTTCTTCTGTGATGTCCAGTACTAAGCACTTATCTATCCTCAGCACTTTGACTAATTACAAATACTTGGTTTGACAATATCTCAGTGCTGAAGGAGACTTCTCTGACAACATTGAGAATTTAGAGAAGGCACTTTAAAAGACATCTATTTAACCAATGACCAATTATAAATTCCTCTATAGGGTATGTGGCCTCTCTAGCCAAAGGCTTTAGTCTATAGTTCCATATGTGATTTCCTTTGCATGTAATAATCTCATCTAGTCAGGAAGCATCTGCTTAATTCTGAAAGATTAATGCCACTATCGCACCAGTGAACTATTTTGCCTGGCTTCTCGGTTTTGTAGCATGCATGGGCTACAGCTGACTGAAATTGTTGGTAACTCTTCTCTCTTAACAGCCTGCATAGCGCCTCCCAACATTGTGTGCAATAGTCAGCAGAGAGGAAGCTTCCAGCTCAATTCCAGCTTGATTTCTGTGTTCTATATCCACAGTATGTGGTAGCTTAAACAATAGTAGCTTCCTGGCTATTTGGGGTGGGAAAATCAAGAGCAGTAACAATAACAAGTTTTGTTTGGGGAGCTTTTGAGCAACTTTTTATGTCGTTACTTTAAAAAAATGGCAGAAGTTTTATCTTTAGTTGTTATATAATCTGTAATGTATTGAGAGTCCTGGCTTGTATGCTACGTTGATGCAGTAGATGCTCGGAGGAGAGATTAGTGATGCCTCTCTCTGAAAAATGAAAGGGAAGAGTGAAACAATGTTGGCTAACAGTGAAGTATGATGAGGCAAGTAAACAAACGTTTATTTATAGAGAATACACCATTTTCTACAAGTAGAGTCATTACAGATAGGTCCAAGCACTTCACTGTTACAGTGACAAAAACACAGTTATGAAGCTATGCATGCCAAAATTTCAACAACTAGAATTTGCAGAAACTATGGATTCTGGTGAGAGAGGCAATGTCTATGTTATTAAAAAAAAAAAAAAAAAAAAAACAGTCTCAAGAGTGGTTATGGGTTCGAATTGCATCTTGTAGCAGCATTCAGCAAGGAAGCATAAATTCAGACAACATGGTTATGTTTACAGTTTGCCTGAACTTTAGTAGCCCAGTCCCATTATTCCTCCATCAGGTGGATGTTCTTTACTGGTCTTTTGTTCTTGCATTGCATGCCTTCTTTTATGCTATGACCTTTCAGGCCTATGTAAGACTTCACTACCCCCATAAATCACTCTATAGAAGCTCAGAGAAAAACTGCAAACTTCGTCTTGATTCAGTGTCTTCCTATTGAACAGACTCATCCAAGTGCTTTTCCCGTGAGGGTGAGTCCCTTCATCACTTCCTTCATCCATCTTTATTATTTTTTCCTGACTGGCTTAAATTTTAGATACACTGATATGAATTGGATAGATCCATACTAAAATACCCACACTGCCATAGAATATACTGAAAACCTTTCTAGTCATAGCAGACTATGAAAAATAACAGTAGACAGAGCCATTTGAGAAGGGAACCCAAAGACCAAACTGCACAAATCAATTTTGTGCCTCCGTTTCTCCAAAAATATATCTTCATTTTTATTTCAATGCCCTCTCCCACTTGAATCTTAGAGAATTTATTTTCTATATCAAAAACGTTTGCAAATAAAAAATAAACAACTGAAAATTAAGTTTTCTGTTGCTATGCAGTTTTACATATATTTTTACTTAATGGGAATTTAAAGTTACTTCGTCATCATTCCTTTTTTCTATTTTTATTGAATTTTTGTGCATTTCATAAAATACATTTTAATCATAATTAGATCTCCCTCCCCTATCTGTACCCCCTGTAGCCCCCCACTGGATTTCATGCATTCTGTCATATGTTAATGCTTATTGAGCCATGTTTGTGTCCCCAAATGTCCCTCAGTATGAATCCACCCATTGGATACTAGTCACCCTATTTAGCATCACTCCATTAAAGAAAACCAATTTTTCCTCTGCCTGGGGTCATCAGTTGCCAATAATTCCTCATCTAAGGTTGGGGTGTCTTACCCATTCTCACGTCGATGCGGAGTTTTTGTCTGGATTGAGTTTGCATGGGTCTTGTGCCTGCTGTCACCATTGCTATAAGTTCATTTGAGGAGATTTTTAGCTGCTTAGAAAGCTTAGTTTCCTTGTGGTCATCTACCACCTCTAGCTCTTACAGTATTTGTGCCACCTCTCCTTCAATGGTCCCTGAGGCCTGGGCTGCAGAGATTTAATACAGGAATCTTATCCAGGGACTTTCACTCTGCAGTATCTTATTCTCTACATTTTGGCCAACTGTGGCTTTCTATGTTGATCCGCATCTGTTGCATGAGGAAGCTTTGCTGGTTAGAGAGAGAGTGGAGAGATGCATTAATATTCTCTGTGACACCTGTCCTGCTATGCTTCCTGAGCCTTAGTTGGAGAGATTCCATTTTAGATGCATCACTTAAGGCTGGGCATGTTGCAGATGCTCTGTAATAGTCTCCATTGTTTGCCAAAAGAAGTTTCTTTGATGACGTTGATGGCTTGTCAGGCTAGTACAGAAGACTTTTCCCTATCATTCATATTGGGACCCAGAACGATCAGCAATAAAAAAAATTGAATTTTTGGATTCTGTTACATGTTGATCCTCTAATTTTCATTTTATGTTTTATACTCTGAAGCTAAGAAAAGCAGAAATGTTGGGGATAATGAAATCCAGGGTACCTTGTCCTACCTACTATGAACTTGATCACCATCTGTTGCATAAGGAAGCTTCACTGGTGAAAGGGAGAGTGGAGAGATGTTTGTACGTTACTTGACAACTTTAAGCCTAATTTTACCTGATCTGCAAATATAAAGTACAATTAATCAAACCTACATCTCTTGATTACTGTGTGATTTCAATAACAACATAGAGATGAAACTAATAAAGATATGGTTACCACACATGTAGTGAATAGTTAATTTTTAGACATTCAAAGGGCAAGAGTACAACACAGCAATCAGAAAATGTTCCCCAAATCTAACCTAATTCATTAAGTTGTGATTTAAAGTAGTTATAAGGAGGAACTTTTAAAAATTTTTTTCATACTTTATTATTTTTTATGTGTGTATTGCCTGCTTGTAGGTAAGTGCACTCATGTTGGGCAATGCCCGTGGAGGTCAGAAGAGGCTGTCAGATCCCCTGGGACTAGAGTTACTGACAGTTGTTAGCTGCCATGTGGGTGCTGGGATTCAAACCCAGGTCTTCTGCAAGAACAACCAGTGTTCTTAACCATGGAGCCATCTCTCCAGCCCAGGAGGAACTTATTATAAGGAAGCATCTGAATCATTAGCAGAGAGGTATACACATATCACAGCTAGAACAGTGATCATGATGGTTAACTACAATATGTCACTTTAACGCCTTTCCTATAAAAATATTTATAACAACTCTCAGATTCTCAATTAATGCCTTAAAAACTAGATGGATGAGATGAGAAAAAAATAAGAAGAGTGAGGAAGACGTTGAATGTAGAATCCTTTGCTAGTTGTTTTTTGAGTTAGACTGAAGAGTTCTGTACAGAAGCTCCAAGTCTGTGTATCTACTAAGGTCCTCTTATCACAATATAGTATATACTCCCCCAAACACCAAAGGGACGGGATTCTGTTTCTTCCAATGAGGCATTTGGAAATGTGTTCTCAATACCTTCAGGAGAAAATTTACACATTTTCTTTCATTTTAGAAATGAGTAGAAACCTTTCCAGGTCAGGTGAGTCCCCTGGGGACAGGCAATGTAATGGAAACACTTGGGTGCATCTGTCTTTGTAAATATTTGTTTTTGTGGTTTATGATGTGTTTAGTGTTTCCAGGCTATATGAAATCAAATTATAATTTGAAATGTGTTTCCATAAAAAATTCTGTCCTTAAGTTATAATAAATTATCAGAAACTTGCTTGTGTGAAAATGCAACTTTCTCTGTTCCTGTGTATCATTAGACACTGATTTATAATTCCTTGATTGATGAGAGCAAAGGACATGGAGAGAAATCAGCATCACATATCCACTGTAGAGTTAAGATTCCATTCCAAGATCTTCACTAGTTTGTTAATTTTGGATGCCCATAAAATAATATAATATTTAATGTCAAGTATTTTCTTTTTGTAGAGAGAAAGGCTCAAGGAAACAAAATAATGCAATTATAGATAACATCTAAACACCAGCATGTCCAAAATGAAGAATTCTTCCATAGATCTTACATTAAATCAGTTAATATTAACAAATCATTGAATGTATAGAATTTGTGTGGACAACAAAATATGAATTATAATATGCCCCCTAGCCAGGCATGGTGGCTCACATTGTAATCCCAGGACTTGGGAGTTTGGGGCAAGATAACAATTGCAAGGCCAGACTGGGCCACATAATAAATTCTAGGCCTAATGGACTGTAGAATACAAGCCCATCACATACAAAATAAAACAAAGCAAAACAAGCAAACAAAATTTAGATAAGAGAAAAAAGAAGTCTTGACTCTAAGGGTATTATAGTCTACTATAGAAAATAGTGTCTCCTTATCCATGACTTGTGATTTCTAATCTATAAAATATATCTTAACATCCTATCTTTTGAAGACATGTATATATTTCAGGTGTCCAGTGACCAAGACTTGCTGCATTTCTCTAACTTTGTACAGAGCTGTTCAAACAATGTTGTCTTGGGATTACAATGTGAACCACCATGCCTGGCTAGGGGACAGAGTAACAGATGAGAAAATTTAAAAGACTGAATGCAGATGGGACACGCAATAGGGAAATATTCTGAGGGTATTGCTCAGAGATAAGATAGGAAGGCCTCCCATAGCAGTGCCAGAGGCTACACATCTGGACCTCAGATTACCATTAGACTGAGTCCCTCAGAATCTTCAGACAGTTGTTCTCTTCATCAATCCACAGAAACACTTTCCATAGTTAAGTGAGCATTCCCATAGTCAGGCTACTTTTGGGAAAGCTCATCTACTGTGTTATAAAAGAACAGTACTATACAATAGGCACTTTGATTAGTACCTGAATAATGGAACTGCCACACACTCTCTATGGGGAAGGATGACATGTGTTCCTTTACTCCAATTAGAATTAAATGAGCCATAAAAATACATATTGTGAAGAGTGCAAACGATAAATAAGAAAAAAAAAAAACAATGATTAGCACAGTTTAGTTTCCTCATGATAATCATTTTCACCTGATTTAACATGAAAAGAATGCCAATGATTCACTAAAGTTAATTGTAATTTCAAGAAGAAACTTGTTTTGTCGTCACAGAATGCAGCAGTTTCCGTACATATGGTGTTCTGTGTAACTGCCTGCCTCTCCCTCATCTTCCCCCATTTTCCATTTCTGTCCTCAGTTGTCCTCTGTGCATTGTCAGGCACATGCTTTCTACAGTCCTCCTCAGATCCTTTAAAAAAAGCCTCTATTTCGCATTCCATGATCCCTTAGTGTTTTCCTGAATTAAATAAACTCTCATTCCTGTCATATGCACCAGTAAACAGGGATAAAGTCACATCCCCATATGCATGATTTGGCTCTCTAAGGCTCAGATATACCTCTTCATATAATTGTGTCTAAATACATATGTTTCTCCCAAATCTCAATTTTCATGGCTAAATAAAATTCTGTTGGGTCTATGTACCTACTTTAGATTATCCACTCATCTATTGCTGGACATCTAGGCTGATGTATTTTCTTGTTCCCATGCACAGTGCAACAATAATCATTGACATGGAAGCATTAAGAAATTTTTAAAGGATTAAAATATACACACACCTTTAATAGGACTTCATATTAGTTCACTGATAATTTACTGATAAACAAAGACGAAACTTCCTTTGACATACACTACAAACATCAAAGCATTTTTTTTCTCATTCATGACATACTGTATTTGATGAGTATTAAAATATATATGCAAATGTAAAATTTTAGGTTTGTGTGAAATCAGGAACTTAAATATTCCTTAAATCTCCTTGAAGCTTTTCTAGCGGTGGTCAGTAAAAGTGACTGGGGATGAAAAATAGTATTATGTCATCAAAATGATGTCAACAGCTGTATTCTATCAATACTAAAAGGGAAGGTGAAGACCAGCAGTGTGTGGTCTCCCATGTGAACCTTAGTTTGTCTGCATTATTTGATTATTATTGTAGCGTTCAGGGAAACTCCTCCCTCCCTTCAATAGTCTTCTCTGTTGTTTGCTCCTCCATTTTTAGACTCATAAGCAGAGAGCAACTTCTTATGCAATATGAAGAATAGAAAAATCCACCAACTATGTCATTTCTTTGGCTCACCCTGGTGTACATTGCCATCAGTCCTTACCATATTCCAGATGGACATTCAGTCATGTTAATGCTAAGGCATATGGCTAGTGACAGTAGAAAAATGGTCTAAGAAAACATTGGGAATGAGAGGAACATTCAGAAACAACTTTCAGTGAAAATCAAGCACAAGACAAATATGCAGGTATCAATGATATTCTTAGTTCCATGACACATATCTCCACTTAAGACTGCACTTAAATGCAACCGCTACACTTAAGTCTCAGAGAACATCACAGAAGAGAGGATGGAAAGAATTTAAGAACTGGGGGAAAGGTACCTGTTCCTAGTTAGGGCTACCTAGATCTGACAGGAAAGCTATAGAAATGAGATCTCCACAGTTGGCAGTCTAACAAGGTCCTCATGTAATAATAGAACCAGGTGACATATGAAGGTGGATGGGCTAGATTTCATGGGGTCCCACCTAAAGTTAAGGGGGTATAGGTAATTGATGGATGTTGACAGATAGAGAATAAGCTTTCTCCAGAGATAAGCTCCAAGTGAGCATCCCTAAGCACAAGTACATAGGAGTGTTACATTTATTCCATCCAGTCAATGGACACAGTGAATTTTATATATGTATGTTTATTAATGTATGTATATGTGCCAATAAAATCAAAGTACAAGGACTTGAGAGGGAGTTGGGGAACAAGGAAGGATTTGGAGTGGGACACGGAGGGATGGAAATAATGCAGACAATATTCGTGTACAATATTCTTAAAAAATAAAAAATGGCAATTTGAAGAGAACTACTTTTAAATATTATAAAGATATTAATATCAGAATAAATAAAGTGTTGCTAACTTCCCACATTCAGTTTGCACATTGTTTTTATTTCTCTCCTTGAATAGCATGCCATCACATGCACTGTAACGTTTGATCTGTATCTGCATTTAAAACTCTATCCATCACAGAGGATGAATGAGCTTTCTCATTAAACCTTTTACATAGTCAGAATGAAGCAAAACTGTAGTGCTTTATCATTATGGTTTCTAGCTATGGACTTGTTTGCTTCACTCACTATGATAAATACAATAAGGAGAGAAAGAGAAAGACAGAGGCATTCATTTAATTTGTCTGTCATAGCAACTTGATGTTAAGGATGTATTATGCTGCTCCATGTTACTGATAAAGAAATGAAGGCTTAGGGAAACGATGGCATGTAAAGAATTGTGTCCCTCCCATACAGGTTTGTGTGCTAGGATCCTAACCTCCTTTTCTCAGACTGCTGATGCTGGGGACAGGATCTTCACCTTGGTATCTAAGTTCAAATAAAGTCACTGAGGTGGACTGACTGGTGTTATATCAAGAGGCAATTAGGACACAAAGACACATGTGGACGATGACGTGTAAATAGAAGTAATGAAGACTGGGCTCAAGAAAAAACAAAACAACAACAACAACAAAAAAAAACCCTGTCAAAACTGTACCTTGTTCTCCTAAGCCGCTAAAGCTCTAGACAAAATGAATTCCTCTTTCTCACCCACACAGTCCAATGTACTTTATTACGGTTGCCTTGAAAACCAACACAGTGTGACATACACATTCCAATATCACACAACATAATAACGATAAATTTCAGAATTTAAAACTCAGTAATCCATTTCTTGGTACCATTTAGTGTATCAATATGAATTGCCAAATTCATACTACCTTAAATTCAGCATTTACTTTTTTCTATTCCACTTTACTGGTGATGTTGCATTACCAAGCAGAGATAAATTGTAGTTGATGACCTATCTTCAGAGGATATATTCATAAGGAGGAAATAGGCAAGGTCCTTATCTCTAGCCTGGTGGCTTATATACAGAGGCAGAGAGGTAGTGGTTAATAAAAATATCCTGATATAGAAAATGATGTCGAGTCCTATACTTTTACCAGCTGTCTTGGATTTCGATTAATATGAGCACGTTATTTTCCTTATTCGCATTCATATAGTTGTATCTTAATAATTCTTGACCAATGGCAACAAGTGATAAGTTTGGTAATATTTGGAGATAATGTCCACTTTCACATCTGAGGGATGGTTATTGGTATGTATGGAGAAGAATTTAGGTGTGCTGTGAACATACTGCAGCACAATAGCATACTTCTACCACCCAATGATCACTGAACCCAAAATATCAATAATGTCAACAACGAAGAAGCTAGTTGAGACGGCGTGTATCTCTGACACAAACGTTTTTCTGTAGAATACTTCCTGAAAACAGTGCTTATTCAGGAATCTGTACATCATTGCACTTTCATCAGCAGATGATGAAGGCTGTGATAGTAGGTTTGATGATGTAATGGTTATCTGGATGGGAGCCTCTGTGTTGATGAGTATATTCTATATAATCATATCTGTACCATAAGATAAAGGTGAGTTGCAGCAGATTCAGGCTGAAAGCTAGTTGCACGTGTTTTTTGTGTATTATGGTGTCCAAATTCTGTGGGAGGTGAAAGCTTCCTCTTCTAGGGAAGCCATCTGCTTCCCCCCATGAGATGACTAATGATCTGAAGTTTCTGTACGTTCTGCTCAAGTTCTCAGCTCAACTAAGCAATCTGTGAAATTCACACGGGGACTGGTTCGTAGTATTGTCTACGGCTCCAGAGAAAGAAAGTGATTTCTTATGCGTTTAGTTACCTTGAACAAAATCGTATTAAGACAATTTCACCAAGGCTTTCTGCTATCAATTCATCTTCTTAAAATATTGATTAGAGCTGGTAATGATGGCAGTGATTTCATACTCAATATGTCATCTTAAATAAATTGAAGGAAAGGGACATGACTTACAGCAATAAAATATTTTAGAAGAACTATTATAGTTTCATTGGATAGGAAAGAGCAGTCTCAATAGCTAAGCATACTCATTGCCCAATATAAATGGGATGTTGTTTCCCGGAATGCTTTGGACACTAAAGATCAGAGAACTTCATGTCACTTACATGGAATGACATTAGATTTTCATATAATCTATGGATATCCTTCTGCAAATTTTAACCACATTTAATTTAGTTATAGCACATAATTAACATGTTAAGTGCTATATAAAGAGTTCTTGTACATAATTAGAGAAAATGACAGAAACAAATATATGTACATACATAGTGAATATGAAATTTTTTCAGATTCTTTTTTCTTTTTCTTTTTCTTTTTTTCTTTTTTGACTTTTTGGTGTATTTAATACAGGACAGCTCAAGCAATCTTAATCATCTTTGTACCCCTGTCTCCACTGGAACCCTTCCATAGCTAGAGAAATGGATAAAAATAGTTCTTTTTTTTTAAAGGTACTTTCAATTGTATATCTGTAGGAAGGAATCTGCAGAAGCAAATGAATAAATGCTAATAGGTATCAATGACAGACTAGAAAGAAATCTTAATGCCACTGACTCTGAACCAAACTTTAAAATCACACCAGAGGTTCTTTCAAGCCTTTTTGAGAGATAATTTCTTAAGAAATATGTCCTTTGCTGTTGAAACTATCTGCAGTGTGGTAGGGGCCATGGTGAAGCTCTAAGAACATACTTGTGTGTTATGTATGCATTCATCTCCTTATAGCAATCTTAAGGTTACTAATTTTCTAGAGTGAAAGAACCA